AAAAATAAAAAAGAAAGAAGATTTTAATGGTAAATCAGTAAGTGGCTAATAGTCCCTTAGAAAATTGAGACTATTTCTATGATACTAAAAGATTCTGCTAATAAATGTGTTACAACCTCAAATTTTATAAACCTAATTCCATTTTAGTAGTTACACTTAAACTGTCTCCGTGATATTAATATGTTACCCCCATATATCTTCATCAAAATAATTTTTTTGTTGTTGCAGTTTTTGGCCAGGGCTGAGTTTGAACCCGCCACCTCCGGCATATGGGGCCGGTACCCTACTCCTTTGAGCCATAGGCACCACCCTCATCAAAATAACTTTAAAAACTATAAGCCAAAGATTTCAAACTAACAAAGAAACTGGTTAAGATAACCATTTAAGGTTCAAAACTAATTTCAACAGTAGTCTTGCTGACCTACCTCAGTTTTGTGAAGTTTTTGATAGTTTCCACTCCAAGAAATGAGCCTTCGGTCTTTGCCACCTCCTGACACCAGTGTGCCATCTCTTAACATACAAAGTGCAAAAATGCCACCCTCATGGGCCCCTTGAACTGCATAGCTTATTCGATTCGTACCTAAACACACCAAGAAAACCATCATTACCAAAAAGTTCACCTCTGCCCATTTTCAAATCCATTCCATTTTTGCTTTAAGATGTGATATTATCAGATGGATATCATTATAATACAGATCCATGAAGTATCCAATTTTTAGAAGTTCACAGAGCATGAACTGGACTCCTTTATAATGAAGGAAAATATGTCAACACGAAGCATCTTATGTTGGAGTGCAATGTGGCTGAGGGGTGCTCAACTTCCACGCACACAGAGTTGTGTGTCTCTGGACAAGTGACTTAATAACCCTGTATCTCAGTTTCCCCCGTCATGGAATGGGGCTGATTACCCTACAGGATTGTTCTAAGGATTAAATGAATGGGAGATAAAGCACCTAGCACTCAGAGCAGTGGGGTACTACAAAAGTCACTTATTGTTTTAAAATTACATTTATGTATCTGTTTTGTCTTCATATCCAACCCAAACTCTAGGATCCTTGAGAACAGGAATGGTATATTTTCCCTTTTATCCTGGCACCTGGTAAGCATTCATAAATGATCATTGGACTTAATTGAATGCACGTTTTCTAAGCAACAAATATTCCTTACCAAACTATTTGCTTACTGACAAGGGATTTGGACCTGACTCATTTGTATGACTCACAGCATCTGGCACTTAATTAGCATTTAATAAGTGTCTGCCAAATGTTTAATGAGTCAGGAAAGTTACTTAAATGTTTTATGGCTATATAAATAGTCACTAATAACTTCATCATTAAAATCTGTTAATATATCTCTTAATAAGGCTATTAATTCCATCATAATACCTTGGGCTTAAAGAGCCTCTTTTTTTTTTTTTTTTTGAGATAGAGCCTCAAGCTGTCCCCGTGGGTAGAGTGCCATGGCATTACAGCTCACAGCAACCTCCAACTCCTGGGCTCAAGCGAGTCTCCTGCCTCAGCCTCCCAAGTAGCTGGGACCACAGGCGCCCGCCACAATGCCCGGCTATTTTTTGGTTGCAGCCGTCATTGTTGTTTGGTGGGTCCGGGCTGGGGATTCGAACCCGCCACCTTAGGTGTACGTGGCTGGCACCTTAGCCGGTTGAGCTATAGGCGCCGAGCCCTTAAAGAGCCTCTTAGGATGACATAAGGTCAATCACTCTTACTATTCTTCCGTTTTCTTCTGTTCTGGTTTTATAGTTTTAAGTTCCACATGCACACATGTATTAGGTATCTATATAACTTGGAATTTAATAGAAATCCTATAAATCACATTAATAAACAATTCTTACAAAAGTCACATTTGCCCTCTTACTTATAATATTATCAAAAATTGTTGGCTTTGGGAATAATCCCTTGTTACCTTTTCCCCATACTAAGATGTTGCCACTTGAGTCTCCAGTAATGGTGTCACCATTTTCAGAAAAAGTCACACATAGGACAAACTTTGGCTTTTCTTGTTTCTGTAGAATGTAGTAAATATAGATATATTTACTCAAGACACCCTTTTATTTCTATTAATAATATCTGCAATCATAGTAATCTCAAACTGGATAGTGTCAGCTTCTGAAACCACCCTGTATGCCTTTAGCCATGAGATTAACTGCTGTGAGGTAAAGAAGTTTGTGGCAACTCCATGGCTGGGGAAATCATAAAGCTGCAGATAGTCAGCCGAGGAAGGAGGTGAGGGTGGGGCTGTGTTGTCATGACAGCAGCCTCAAAGACACAGCCCAGCACTAGAATAAAGGTCCTCTAAATAGCCCCATGGAGGCTAGGCTCTGCATACCCTGGGGCTGAGGGCTCTTCTCCCCTCTCCCTGGGGCTGGGTACTGTCCTTCCTCCTCCTTGGAGACAGCTGCTTTCTTCGCCTCTCCCAGGGTTGAGTGCTCTCCTTTCCTTTCCCTGGGGTCAGTGTTCTTCTCCCTCCTCTCTGGAGCTAGATGCTTCCCTCCCTTCTCCCTGGGCCAGGTGCTCCTCTCTCCTCTCCCTGGGGCCAGGTATTGTCCTCTCTCCTTGAGATGGATGCTCTCCTCTCCTGTCTCTGGGGCTGGGTACTCTCTTCTCTTTCCTGGAGACCGGTGCTTTCCTCCCTCCCCTCCCCCTGAGCTGAGTACTCTCCTCCTTCTCCCTGGGCTGGGTGCTCTCATCCTTGCTCCTTTAGGTTGAGTGCTGTCCTCCCTCCTCCCTGGGTCTGGGTACTCATACTTTTTCTGCCATCATTATTAGTGTCATCTATAAGATACAGGGGATACCCAGGATAGTCTTTATCACTGCACCCTGAAATGCTTCCTCACTCATTTGCCATTAAAATAAATTTTGAGGCTGAGATACCTCAAATCTCCCTTAAAATCTAACTGATTACATGTACCACTCAATTAAAAATAAAGAATATAATTTAACTTTACCTCAAATAATCCTTGCTTCTTAATCAGAGAGTTTCCTTCTAGTGTCCAAAAGTACAGATGTGATTTCCCACAGGTGACTATGATATTGGTGTCCGTGGGGTGGAAGTCCGCAGCAAATACGGCTTCATTAGAGCACTAAGAAAAACAGGAGAATCAAATGCCTCAACTGTCTTAAGGTACTTAGGAGACACTTAGGAAAACAAATAAATCTGAACCACAAATAAATAATTCAAGTCAGCACTATGCCACTGCCACCTGATTTTCCCCACTGAATTACTCTTGCTGTAGACATAGGCGCATGTGGCCGTGTGCATTCCCTCTTCATCTGCCTCCTAACCTGGGCCCTCAGCCTCTGAACCAGGTGGCACACTGGAGTCCTCTTCCTAAGTAGAGCCTGTCACAGGGCCAGGCATGGAGCAGGCATGTGGCAAGCTTTGCTGAGGAGTAGGGTAGAAGCAGCGGAGACTCAAGAATGGCAAGCATTTGCTCTCATCTACAGTCATGGGCTACTGGCCTGGCTGAACAATAGAATCCTCTGATGGGTGTTAAAATGCAGATCTTCAGACCTCATCCCCCATCTAGTGGTTGAAATATCTAGAAGAGGGCCCAAGAATCTGGATTTTACCTGGCCTCATTGTCCATGGCTGACTTTGGCTGCCCTGTTTTCCCTGAGGAGGTCCTCCTGCATATAATTGCTGGGGTACATGAGGCAGATCTGGCTCTCTTGGTGCCATTTCACCACCCTTCAGCACATATCCTGACTTCCAGGACCTGCACCCTAGTCTGTTAAATCTGTCACTGACTGTTGTTTCTACCTAATAATTCAGTTGTATGTTCTCGAACCTGGATAACATGTCTCTGTTTACTTCCAACCTAGCAACATAGAAAAACGAACTTAAATACCTGACCAGAATATTAGAAGGCAGGGCTACAACATGAAAACAGGTATTAGGAAACATGCCTGATTGGAATACAATGTCTTCTGTATCCCATATACACAAGAGAAAAAGTTAGGTAAGTACGGTTATCTAACAGTAATTCTAATGTTAGGTAAGTAAGGTTAACCAAGGTTAATAGATGCAAATTGAGAAATGTGATGTCAATTCTATAAAAATAGGGATCTAACCATGATTTTAATAGCTGAAAAACATCACAAAGTCAAGGAAAGTTGATTGATGCATTGTGCAAGATGGATTAAAAGCAGTAGAAGCAGCCCAGAGGGGCCACACAGGATCCCACTGAAGGGATCTGGGATTTAGCCAGAGGCTCTTTCTGATTTTTCCTGAGTCTGTCCTGCTGTAGATGAGCCCTGTGCTGGTGGCACCTGCCCTGTCCCTGCCCTTCTCCCAGATGGCGAGGTTTGCACCCAAGGGCTGTGGGCAGGAATGGGCAGTCCTCTATGCAAAATGAAAAATAGGGACACTGGGCCCTGGAGCTGGCTGGCAGGAGGCTATGGCTGTGCCCAAGAGTCTCTGAATGGCAAAATTATAAGGCTTGGAGTGAGACCTTCACATCGGCCAGCTTTTCTTCTTTCTGCCAGTCCCACACAGACAGCACGTGGTCGTTGGAGTCATCCACAGCACAGAGATTGCTTCCTCCATTCTGAAAAGAAGAAGTTTTTCACAGGAAGACTACATTTGAGAATAAAATGGATTGAACATGATCAAAAATGAATATTAATTTTACTTTTAATAGAGAGTACACTATATTGTAGCTGAGAAATATTTACCCATTGCTTTTAAGACCTGTCTTCTTGGCTCGGCGCCTGTGGCTCAAGCGGCTAAGGCGCCAGCCACATACACCTAAGGTGGCAGGTTCGAATCCCCAGCCCGGGCCCGCCAAGCAACAATGATGGCTGCAACCAAAAAATGGCCGGGCGTTGTGGCAGGCGCCTGTAGTCCCAGCTACTTGGGAGGCTGAGGCAGGAGACTTCCTTGAGCCCAGGAGTTGGAGGTTGCTGTGAACGTGATGCCACGGCACTCTACCCAGGGGGATAGCTTGAGGCTCCGTCTCAAAAAAAAAAAAAAAAAAAAAAAAAAAAAGACCTGTCTTCTTGGACAGACAAGGCTAGCAGGTGCAATAAGGAGTAATGAAGAGACAGGATCAGGAGAGAAGGGGATTCAAGGGTGGCTCCTGACCACCAGATTCCTCCAAAGCCAACCCCAAAGGGGTTCAGAATCTTCTGCTTATAGCAGGCACAGCACAGAGGCTGCTACCAGCTGTGGCCACAGCTACTGTAAGGCTGCACAAGGAATAAGCACTGGGGCCAGAGTGATATTTATGGGAATATGTTTCTGAACTGGATGAAGACAGGATGTGAAAGAGTGTAGGCGTGGAGTTGCTTGTACCAGCACATCCTGAGAATGCTGGGAAGACCACAAGGCCCCCTCTGACTCCTGCTTGTGAGAAGGCAGCCTGTGTTGGGATGGCAGAGACATGTTGGAACCACCTATGAACGAAGCAGGTGAAGTCCAAGTCCGGAGCAGGCAAACTACCTTAAGGACATGAGAACAATGTTCTTGGGTGGCCTCTTTGCTCACCAAGCCTGCATGGCTGAAGACGCTTGACTAGAAGTGTGTGTGATGAGACACATGCTTGACCTCTGGTTGAGGTGCCTGGGAAGCAAGGATGTCTCAGCGCTCAAATCTGTACATGGACCCAGGCAGTTACTAAGTATGTTAAGTCTCTCCTTTTTCAACATTGAGTTGATTATCTGTTCCCTATGGAAAAGACTGCAATTCCCATGGAGCTCATACTTACAGATTTTGAGAATGCAATGCAGGTGACAGCTCGGTCAAAGAAACCTATTCCAATGACATGCAGAGTATTCAATGTCACAGAATCCCAGATGCGCACATGCGGGGGCAATTGCTGTTTTGAAAAAATTAAGAGTCACCAATTGTGATGGTTATACAAAGTTATCTTTACCTCGCTGCTACAAGAAACTTTTGTTAAAACAAAAAGGTTTTATCAAATTTGAGGAGTCTGCCTTTTACTGTAAATAAAACATTCCCAATTTGAACAGCCAATTCTTGATAACTGTACCACAGGATTTGACACTCTAATTCAGATAGATACTAGATGAGCTTGAATTTTGCAAGTGAAAGATAATAAGTAAAATGGAATCTCATATAAGGGTTATTCTTTTTAAAGTCTATTTGTTGCTAATATGTGAACATGTTTATGTTCCTACAGATGATCATCGCCAAGTAGAGCTCAACATTCTTAGGCAAAACAGGCAATCAATGACACACAGATAACATTAAAAATTATTATGATTAGTTAAAAACTCTCTCAATTGTGTCCCTCAGCTATTTATACCAGTTTCTCTCTCTCTCTCTTTCTCTCTTTTTTTTTTTGTAGAGACAGAGTCTCACTTTATCGCCCTCGGTAAACCTCTGAGGGCTTTGGTGATTCTCTTGCCTCAGCCTCCTGAGCTGGGACTATAAGTCCCCACCACCACACCCAGTTATTTTTTTGTTGCAGTTTGGCCGGGGCTGGGTTCAAACCTGCCACCCTTGGTATATGGGGCCAGAGCCCTACCCACTGAGTCACAGGTGCCGCCCATCAGTTTTTTTTTTTTTCTCTCTCTCTCTTTTTATAAAGTCTTTTATTTTAGTCTTAATTTATTTTTTTTCTTTGCAGTTTTTTGGCCGAGGCTGGGTTTGAACCCACCACCTCTGGCACATGGGCCTGGTGCCCTACTCCTTTGAGCCACAGGTGCCGCCCAGTTTTTCTCTTTTTTAATGTTAGAAAGCATTATAGAGTAATCAGCAGGTTTACCAATAAGAAGAGACACTAGCATTGTACCAAGTGGCTTTCCTAGGTGGTTGGTGAGCTGGGTTCTAGCTCAGCCTTGTCTCTAAGTAGCTGGATATCTGTAGACAGTCAGTAGACCTCTCTGGATTTCTCCATAGGTAAACTTAATGTCAGCTGTAACATTTTCTCTGGTTCTAAAGTTCTAATTCAATTTCAATACCAGAAACTGAAATACACTTTTAAGCCACTAGAGGGAGCGAAAAGGTTTCAAAGAGTATTCCAAGGCCATTTAATATTAAAAAAAAAAAAAAAAACGAAGATAAAGACCCATTCCATTTATGTAACAGTAGTCTAATTTCCATTATTCCTGTTAATTTTTTTAATTGTAGAATTCTAATGGAAACTAGCATAATATTAATATTTAAAATCTGATGTCATTACAATATTTTCTGAAATATGGTAGTACTCATATTTTCTGGAAGAAAGCACATTGATAGAAATAAGTACTTAATAGAATTAGTTCCAGATAATATATTATGTAATAATAAGCTCTATAGAAGTAGATATCAAAAAAGGTATAAGTTCTCCCTCATGCCTTATAATACAATAAAGTCTTGCTAAAGTGCTTACAAAATTTGTGCTAAAAGCCTCCTAGCAGCTTTTGTGACTTGCACATATACACAAATTCTGAAGGTTAAAGTCATGATCACAGGGCATTTCAGAGGGTGTTTAACATTTACTGGAGAGGCAAGAGGCTTCATATTTAATTGATATATTGTAATATTAACTTTAGTTATTAAATGTGTAGCTTCATATTTTAATGCTTATCATATATATAAATAAGCATTTTAAGAATTAGTAAATTTTGTTAAAGACAGCCACAGAAGGCTCGGTGCCTGTGGCTCAAGTGGCTAAGGCGCCAGCCACATACACCCAAGGTGGCAGGTTTGAATCCAGCCTGGGCTCACCAAACAACAATGCTGGCTGCAACAACAAAAAAAATAGCTGGGTTTTGTGGTGGGTGCCTGTGGTCCCAGCTAGTTGGGAGGCAGAGGCAGGAGACTCACTTGAGCCCAGGAGTTGGAGGTTGCTGTGAGCTGTGATGCCAGGACACTCTACCCAGGGGACAGCTTGAGGCTCTGTCTCAAAAAAAAAAAAAAAAAAAAGACAGCCACAGAAGCTGTGAAGGAAATAGTAAATTCTTTGGCAGGAACAACACTATTTAAGAATTTGCTGAAATTAACATGAGCTCAAGAGATTTTTAAGGTTACTTAATTTTAAATTAAGACTTTAACTTTATAATAAACATTGTTATGAGGAAGTAAGAAGTATTCAGATATCACAATCATATCTAACCATGCTTACTGATCAGCAAAATGTTTTCAGAAAATTATTTTGTGTTACCAGTTCACTACAAAAATATAAAAAGATAACATAACTCACTTTTCCATCCTTAGATGTGCCTGCGACTTGTCCTGTTGCTATTGTGATCCTATCAGGATGAACTGCTAGGCTAAAAAAAAAAGGATATTTATAAAAATCTACACTTTAACAGTAAGTTTATATTTCCCTTGATCAAATATAATCTTGTCAAAAATTTAAATATAATAAATATATAAAAAATATATATATAATGCCTAGCTTCTTAAAGACTCATGACAAATGCTCTTGAGTACCCCAACTTTAGACAAGTAGTTCCTATTTCATTGCATCTTAATTCTCTTATTTCTCCTTGAGAATTTTCAAACTTAAGGAAAAAGCATCCTTTGCTAGGAAAATATCATTTCAACTTCAGTGCCACTTAATTGGTCTATAACCTTTATTAAGAAGTTACTTTGAGTATATAAAATAGAAAAGATGTCATCTTTTGCCAACAGGATTTTTTACCACTGACCATGGACCCAGGATAAATACAAACATAGTAGAACCTGTCTAAGTTGACCACCCAAGGTACTATCACAAACTGGTCAAGATACAGAGGTGGTCAACATAAGGAACAAGGCCTACTATACTGATAAGTACATGGGGTGCATGTCTGTCTATGAAAATCAGGTCAACTTAAGGAGCGGGTCAATGTAAGGAGTGGTCACTATGGAGGTTCTACTGTGTATGAATCCATCTAGTCATCTATCTGCCCTTCTAGGATATATAAAATCTCTACCAAAAGCTATAAATGAATTATGGGAGTAGCAGACCTAGCCATAAACATGAAGCAAAACATTTTTATCTTTATCAAAAATTATGGACCCAAATCAGAAGCCTTTAACACTGGATGTGTGAAGAGGCCCCCAAATAAGTGGAACCGTTTGTGCAGGTAAGAGTCAGTTAAGATCATGTGTTGTGAGGACAGAAACTAAGAATGAAAGGTATCTTACTGGGCCAGGTAACTCATGGAGGACAGAGGACAGAAAGGAACGCTTCTCAAAGGTTCTGTTTTCTCAGCCCCCACTCCCTTCTTCTCTTTAGTTATATTACAACACTGACCTCTTTCTGTGAATGCTATCTCCACCTGTGGAATGGGAATCACACTCATGAGAACTCACCACTTCACGTCGTCATTGTGGCCAGCATAGTGCCTCTGCAGCTGCTCTTCTACGTTGTATAACACCACCACGGATGCGATGAAATAGACAGTCTCTCCAGTTGGGAGCAAGTACAAGTTGTTACGACAGTCTCGACCTCGGTACCCATAGCTTTGTGGATGTCAAGATAAAACATTTTTTTCTTTTAAGAGTTCACAAACATCAGCTACATTCAATAGGCACAGGAAAAAAACACCACATGACTATTAACATCAATCTTACTAATTTAAATAACATTATAAATACTCAGTGTCAAATATATCAGACCCCCAATAGGCATGCAATAAAGTTGGAAATGGTCATATGTACTTTTTTTTTTTTTGAGACAGAGTCTCATTTTGTCACCCTTGGTAGAATGCTGTGGCATTGTACCTCACAGCAACCTCAAACTCTTGGGCTCAAGTGATTCTCTTGCCTCAGCCTCCCAAGTAGCTGGGACTACACATGCCTGTCACAATGCCTGGCTATTTTTAGAGACAAGGTCTTGGAGTCTCCCTCTTAGTTAGACTGGTCTCGAACTCCTGAGCTCAAACAATCCACTTGCTTTGGCCTCCCAGAATGCTAGGATTATAGGCATGAGTCAATGCACCCAGCCCTGTGAGCACGTTTTTTACAAAGCAAAGATTTGGTTTCATGTTTAAGTTACTGAGTTAATTATGAGTCTTTTTTTTTTCTTTAGGATACATTAAAATTTGCTTTAATACTTCTTTGGGGAAAAAAATCATACTTTTAGTGAATGAACGAGAAACATTTTTACAGCAATAGGCTATTATTTTTATCTACCATGCCATGAATTCATAGGGAAGTGGTTCCAGTAGCTCAGGGAGGCATTTTGCCATTGAATGTGACAAAGCATTGATTAACTTTTGAATTCATGGGAAATAGGTTCCAGCACCTTGCATCATCACTGTTACATGGGGTCTAATTGGTTATCCTGTGTGCTATGCTGTCTACCTATTATGCCATGAGCTCACGGGGAATAAATAGGTTCTTGCACCTAAAAACATGGGTCTCCTGGTACTCCTCTGTGCTATGTTATATGCTTATTATGCCATGAATTCATAGGGAATGGGTTCCAGGAGCTCAGGCTCCTTTCCGTTGGTTCTCACAAAGTGGGCTTCTCTAGAAGGAGCAGGCTGGCACTTCAGTTGAACCCAGGTACCTTTTTCTTTGGCTTCCTTCTTTTTCTGATCATTTTCCTTCACACATTTCAGGAAGCTATCTCGGCTCTTAGAGTGCTTAATATGCTCAATACGAACATTAATCCTCTTGGCAAGAATCTTGCCCTTAACTTGTTTGTTTACAACAATGCCAACAGCATGCTGGGTAACATTGTAGACTCTTCCAGTTTTGCCATGGTAACATTTGTGTGGCATGCTTTTTTGAACAGTACCCATTCCCTTCATGTCTACAATAACACCTTTCTTGTCAATTCCCATATATGTGGCCAAAGGAACAACTCCATGTTTTCTAAAAGGCCTAGAGAACATGTATCGGGTGCCTCTCCTCTTTCCCTTTGTGTTTGTCATTTTGGTGAATTACTGGAAGATGGTGTCTCCAGCCGAAAGGAAACTGAGTTTTTTAAAAAATGTAATCTAGGAGCTAAATCTTTTACTTAAAACCCCTTTTTTAAACATGGTAAAAGTATTCATCAAGAATAAAAATTATAGCTCGGAGCCTGTGGCTCAAGTGGTTAAGGCGCCAGCCATATACACCTAAGGTGGCGGGTTCAAATCCAGCCTGGACCCGCCAAACAATGACGGCTGCAACCAAAAAATAGCCAGGCATTGTGGCGGGTGCCTGTGGTCTCAGCTACTTGGGAGGCTGAGGCAGGAGACTTGCTTGAGCCCAGGAGTTGGAGGTTGCTGTGAGCTGTGAAGCCACGGCACTTTACCCAGGGGGATAGCTTGAGGCTCTGTCTCAAAAAAAAAAAAAAGAATAAAAATGACATATATATGCACACAAATATACCTAAAAGGTAAAACAAATTAGGTTCCCTTTGCCCCAGTTTCTTAGGGATAATTATCCCTATTAAAATTTTTGCATATATACTTTCAAACCTTGTAAACTATTTTGAGAACAAACTATCATTTGAACTTGAATGTAAACTTAGCAAAAAACACCATTTATTTGGAGCATATTTCAGGTTTATATCTTCTAAGATATAAACAGGAGATAGGCTGAATGTGTTTTGAATATTTTCCAGATTTGATTTAACCATTTAATAAAACACTACTGACTTAAAGAAGAGTTGAATTATTTCAATTACATGTGTCAAAACAGATTCCAAAACAGTTGCAAGTAAATGCTTATAGCATTTTAATTCAAAAAAATAAAAAATGTACTTTGGAGGAAAAATTTAGCTACAGGGGGTATTTAAAATTTTTTTCCAAATTATATGACTCCATAATCTCAAAAAGTAATTCTTCTAAATACAGTTACAACAGCTTCAATTTAAACCAACTTCTTATGATTTGTGTTCTGAGCTTAGCATTAAACAAGTTCTCAATAAATATTTGAGGGTGGAAAAAGGGATTTTTTACTCTTTGACTTGAAATCTAAAGGTGGACTCTGTGGGCTTTCTCTAAAGTAATAAATAGATAAATTAATAAATGGAATTAAGCGCAAAAAAAAATCAACGTTTAATTCAACACTGTCACAGGTTCTATTTTCTCGTCTTTCAGCTGTTTTTCCCTGGAAGCTCACTTTCCCAAACCTCATACTGTGAAGCTGCCAGCAGCTCTATTTCAAGAATATTAGTCATATGGCTGATTCAGACTTTTGTGGCCTAGATTTTGGGGGGAGATTTTTCTTTTTTGTTTATTTATGTATTTTTGATACAGACTCTTGCTATCTTACCCAGGCTGGACTCAAACTCCTAGACTCAAATGATCCTTGTACCTTAGTCTCCCAACCTGCTTGGTAGTATAGGTGGGTACCACCACACCCAGATTTTTTTTTTCTTTAAAAAAGTAGAATTATATCTATGCTACATGTCAGTTATATTTTTGGCATTCATTTGACTCCCTTCCTTTAGGACTTAGGTATTCATAGTCTTATGTTACCTCTCTGAGCAGTCAGGATTACTTGGAAGTTAGGCTGCTCAGGATGGCCAGGTCCCTCCTCAGTTTAAGTGGAGAATGCCAGCCCTTCCTTTCAGAGTACTCCTCTTTTTATTTTAGGTTTTAAAGCTTTTTTTTTTTTTTTTGTTGAGACAGAGTCTCACTATATCACCCCTCAGTAGAGTACTATGGCATCACAGCTCATAGCAACTTCAAACTCTTCAGCTTAAGTGATTATCTTGCCTCAGCCTTCCAAGTAGCGGGGACCACAGGCACCCGCCACAATACCCAGCTATTTTTTTGTTGCAGTTGTCATTGTTGATTTTAGCTGGCCCTGGCTGGGTTTGAACCTGCCAGCCTCAGTGTATGTGGCCAATGCCCTACCCACTGAGCTAAGGGCGACACCCATTTTAAGTTTAAACAATTTTTTGTCAAAAAAAACAAAAAACAAAAAACAAAAAACATTTTTGTCAGGGAGGCACCTGTGGCTCAAAGGAGGAGGGCTCTGGCCCCATATTCCAGAGGTGGCGGGTTCAAACCCAGCCCTGGCCAAAAACTGCAAAAAAAACCAAACCAAACTTTTTTATCAACATGGTCTAGCTTCAATTTCTGATATTCCCATTTTCTCATTCACAAGTTCAACATTTTTTTGCCTTTTTCACTGTTGTTTCCTTATAAAAACTTAGCACTCCTAGCTTTTCAAATAGGTCCCTGAAGAGCTAAGTATATGATACCTCCTGTTCAATAATCAGTTCTTTCATTCTCATTAGCCTCTGAAATTCTCTATTCTTAATTATTTTCACTCACTAAGCTTCCTTCTTTTTTTTTTCTTTCCAATTTTCCCTACATCACCCTAGCCTTCCCAAGTACTAGGATTATAGGCATGCAGTGTGGTGCCAGCCTAAGCTTACTTCTTTATAACTTTTTAAATAGCTTTATTCTTTTGGAAAGATTAAAATTCAGACCAGAAACTAGTGATTCATTTCCCCCTGACCTCCTTCAAATCATTCATACAATCATATAACATTTAAATATTTTCTTTTTGGCTGGGAGCAGTGGCTCACACTTGTAATTCCAGCAGTTGGGAGGCCGAGGTGGGTGGATTGCCTGAACTCAGAGGTTCATGACCAGCCTGAGCCAGAGTGAGACCTTGTCTCTAAAAATAGATAGATATTGTGATGGGTGCCTATAGTCCCAGCTACTTGGGAGGCTGAGGCAAGAGGATCACTCGAACCTGAGAGTTTAGGCTGCTGTGAGCTAAGACACCATAGCACTCTACCAAGGGTGACCAAGTGAGACTCTGTGTCAAGATAAATAAATACATATATACATATTTTCTTTTCAGGAAAAAATATATGTGTATTACAGCAAGAACCACAAGTATTTCCTTCAGGAATGTATGTTAGTTTCCCTCATAATCAGTAGCTTTTATGGAGCTCCTCCTTTGCTAGGATACTGCACCAGGAACTGACATATAGCCAATTGCTTAAGATTTAAGTTGTGGCTCGGCACCTGTGGCTCAAGCGGCTAAGGCGCCGGCCACGTACACCTAAGGTGGCAGGTTCGAATCCCCAGCCCGGGCCTGCCAAACAATGATGGCTGCAACCAAAAAATGGCCAGGCGTTGTGGCGGGCGCCTGTAGTCCCAGCTACTTGGGAGGCTGAGGCAGGAGACTCGCTTGAGCCCAGGAGTTGGAGGTTGCTGTGAGCGTGATGCCATGGCACGCTACCCAGGAGGATAGCTTGAGGCTCCGTCTCAAAAAAAAAAAAGACTTAAGTTGTATGAATTTCTACAGTTAAACTTCAAGTATTAACTCTGTGTAAGACCTAATCAGTGAATAAAGGATACACCCATTCCAGCTTGAGTCTCTTGGTTGGAAGTTCTACTTTTGCTTCTAAACTGTAAGAATCCACTTGATCTTTGGGCATGTACATGGTAACGGGGCGTCCACGAAGAAACATTTTTACATAGCCCTCTTCTACAAAAAGAACAAAGATGTTAGTTTGTTTGACCTCCATGTCCTGCAAACATATCCTCTCTAGCCCTTCGACATAAAAGTGAAAACTTTACTCTTTTGTCATTTCTAATTAACATCTTAGGGGAAAAAAAACGAACATATAAAATCAAACAGTTCGAAACAAAAGTCTGCATCTTGTCTACTTTTGACTTATTTAGTACAGGAAATATATAAAAAAAAACTATAAAAGGCAGAAAGAACTAGATTCTAACAATTATTCTCCATAAGATTTTAGTGCTTACGTTTTGTCATCAGGAGGGGAAAAAAATATCACCCCCAAACATTAGAACACAAGAAATCCATTTAAATTTTTTATTGAGTTTGACGTATACACAATTTCAGTTTCAAATAAATATTACAAAATATCTTTCAACATATAAATCAGTTTGTAATACTGCAATTTAAAAATATATCTTCATGTATCTTTTACATTGGACAATTCTTTCCAGTCTAAAGAACTGAAAATCAGTAGAAGTGCATGTTAGTAGCATGCATGCAAAAAGAAAAATGCTCAGAAAAAAGCTAGAAATGGAAAACAAAAGAACAAAAGACCCATTAGAGAGAGAAATTAGGAAGCAAAACTTTCCAGAACAACTATTTCTATAATGAAATAACTTTTCACATTCTACTAAATTATAGGTACAAAGGTAAATATCAATAATCTATACACATGGGCAAGTCCTAGACCTTAAACAACTCAGCTGAGGGGCTGTGACTAGAGGTTTCAGGATATTTAAGAGCAAAGAAAATATCTTGTGAGCTCCCGACGAATTCTGTTCAGATTCAGAACTTGCTGAATTCTGATGCTTCCCTGAAGATCAAAGGACCCAGCCTTAATGGCATTTAAACTGGGCAGTTGGAACCAGAGATATCTGTACACAATTTAGAAAAAAATCATCCACAGAGAGGAAGTTGATAAGGAAAAGTCATAAAATATTTACAGCTACTACATACCCCATTTGCAAATTAGTTTTGTTAAGTCTTATTTCTAAGGAATTCCAAACAACGCCACATGCAGTATTATTTAAAAATTATGAGGGCATCCCAATTGTGTGCTCACACTTCAGGTCTTAAATTCATGCATGTGACACACTCTTCACACTGCATATTAAGTATGACTTTAAGTGAGAACCATGAAGGCATTCATCCTTGCATATGTGTGCTAGTCATGCTCTCCTACTGATCCTCCACCATGCTGGTACCAGCTGCTCCCGCTACACCATGCCCAGTCCATCTGAGGCCCCCTCCCTTCAGGCTGTCTTATTTCTCCTGGGGTCAGCTTAAACACTGCTGCTGCCAAACCTACCGAGGCCCAAATTGGATTTTATGGAGTCCTTCCTCCATGTAGATTCCTTTGCTTGCTCTTGTACTTGTTGGGTGCTGACCTGCTCTACTCTCCCCTCATAGGACCTTGGTAGCCACAGCCACCCATGGAGAACTCAGCCTGCCCCATCTCTGTGTCTCTGCCCTTCTTGGAAACCTCTTCTCCTCCTCAATCCCTCACACAAATCTAAGCTCATCAGATTGTACTCATCATACTTGAAGCATCTAAAAGCACCTAAAATATGGACAGTGAAAAGAGGGGCCACTTTTCCCAGTGATGGAGTGGGAAATCACATAAAAGTGATTCCATCAACTCTCCTAGGAAGGGGTAAACCAGTTCTTCCAGAAAACTCATAAAATGTATGTTGGGAATAAAAATGATATAATGCCATTTCCATGACACAAAAATGTTTATTGTGGATTCATACAATAAACATGTGTGAGATATGTACTTGAGTACACATATTGCAGTTATGTGCTAGTTAAGAATCCTTATGATTGAAGCTTACTTGTTGCACAATTTAAAACAACTGGACTAGGTAAAAAAAAAAAGCACTAAATTTAACATTGGCATACTCTTATACTGGTATTTCAGACAGGCTACATATAAAATAAAAATGCAGCCAGGGGAAGCAATGTTTTTTCCAGGCATGTTAGGATAACACACATACAACCCAAAAGCACCAGCAGAGAAAAGCCAGCAGCAGTGCAGGATACCATCTCAAACAGTGGGACATCCAGGGGTAGCCCTATAGCTCTCTTCAGGTTTACAGGGATGAAAAATATTCCTGCAATCAGCCAATAATCAATGAAGATCCAAATTATAGCCACTTATTTAAGTCCATCCAAGGAAATGCTCAGGGATGCTTTTAACTTAAAATAAATCAAAGTGCTTTGCATCACAAAAACATTTTCATACAAGGAGAGTATCTGTTTGCCTGTATGAAAAAAGTTTCTGTAGCCTGGGTAACAGCTTTGCTCAGAGAGCTATGAGGTTTCAGAAATGCTGCCTACCTTTGCAGTGTGTCACCCGGCGTTTCCCTTGTGATTTCGGAGACAGAGACAGAAGGGCTAGATAAAGAGACGGGGAGTACTGCAAGTGTGACTGGCCTGCCTGCTCCCAGAGCATTTACTGTCTGCCAGAGGGGGAACCTACCCGCCCCGCCCAGTAGTGAAATCTGGACACAGCTCAGGGGTTCTGACAAGTGCGTTCACCATGTGGCCCTGCCAGCTTAAGGCAATTACCTTTTTAGTGAGTAATTTCATGCTTCCTGAGAATGAAATGAACATTAAAGCACATGCTGATAAATACAAAACTTTTGACTTTTATGTTTTAATTCTGAATTTAAGAAAAACACTGGAAATATTAAATGAATTTATATAACTGATTATACACTTGTCCAATATTTCTGCATTTTAAAAGAAGGTTAAGATGCTAAAAAACAGCATCTACCTATTAAAAGATGTGTTAAAAATTATACAGAAAGGTATATATAAACTATTAGTTTGCAGTTTAGGAGGTCATAGGCAGAAGAAGAAAAGCTACTTTTAGAACAAAGTTATATAACTTGACGCATCAGAAACTTTCCCTTTAAGAGAAATGCAAATGTTGACGGCAGAATACAGTTAGTAAGGAAGGAATAACCAAGGCAACAGAAGTCTCTTAATCTAGAAATTCCATTACCACATAGATGGTGGCATTCCTCTCTCCCCCTTACTGTCATGTCTCAAATTGGTTTTAGCAGGGGTAAGTGAAGGATTTGGTCTTTATGACTGTGTTACACACGGTCTTGCTGTCATTATGGGGCCACCTGGCACCGAGTACCAAGTTGACAGCGCTCCATCTGGTCTGCAAAAACACCAAAGCTCCTCCTGTATGTCAAAGGCTAGACTCTGAAAAAGCAGCTTCTTATCCATCCCTCAAATTCTGAAGAAGTGAGTGAGGGGTACCCAGATGAAAATTAAATCTGACTTACCTGCACTGAATACGGGCTCCTTGGGTTTGCTGTGAAAATAAACCAAAAACAGTTTTTAAAGAGCACTTTGGGTGTCCTCTCATTTACTTAAGACTTCATAGCCATTTGCTGCAGTAGTTTGCCACATGTTAACAGGAAAAACAAAACCAACTTCCCACAAAAAGGAATATGCATAAGTAAAAATGTCCAAAACTAGACATTTAGAAGAGATTTATCTTTATCACTAGAGTTGTGCTTTTCATGAGAGAGCAGGTAAGTGTTTCTGGGAGGAAAAAATTTGGTTAATCAAGATGGGAATGGTCCTGCCTAAATGTGTAAAAAAGAATTGTTTTTCTTCCCTATACTCTTCTGAAAGATTATTTTAAGGAACTTATTTAAAACTCACAAATTCGTGACAAAAGATCTTTTAGTAAAGTCCAAGGTGTAGTTGAGCCCTCTGTAAACAAAGTAACCTAACTGTTTGTGCCCTCACGCCAATCTGGGGAAAAAATTAAATATTTTAAAGGTTAAAATAAAAATCTTTTGGGTAAGGACTTCAGAGCTCACCTCCAAGGTAGTGACTGCTATGAGGAAGACAGGAGGGTGAAATGGAGGTGGAAGGAGAGGGAAGGATACAGGGTATGGTGCCTTCCCTACTTCAGCCAACTCATGGGAGCTGCAGGGATACCACTGCTGACTCCAGCCACTCTGGGTGCCCACCTCGAATGAGGCTGAGACTGCTCTGTGACTGCACCTGGGAAAACACCCACAAAGGGTTCAAGGACAGTGCTGCAGATGGACAGAGGTCATTCCTAGGAGCAAGTGTCCCACAAGGAAAGCTTCCATGAAGAAGTCTCCTGTCCAGAAGGGGAGGGGAGCCATGGCTGCAGGCCCACTTGCAGCTTCCTGTCAAGGGCACACCTCCAAGATGACCACCTGTGGGGGACACAGCACCATCTCTATTCTAGACTGGACAGGAATGTTCAGGCAGCACTGGGAGAATAAACAGCAACTGACCCGAGTCTGTTGATGCCAAAGTTCATGCTGATTTCCATATACCACCCAGATCCCCTGCTTCCCTCCTGCTGTAAGACATGGAGCAAGATGTAGGCATCAGGTGAGAGGCATGGGGAGTGCTCATCATCACTCTGTCAATGTTGCTAGGAGCACACATGCATTTTTTGTTAAGCATAATTTAAAAAAAACCTGAGTAGATACTATATATTCTACTATTCCTAATATATTCCTCATATTACCTCTCCTTAATTTTTATCTTGAAAGACAATGAAAAATACCATGAATAAAAATTACCACAAATCCTTGCAATAAATAATATCATTATGTATCAATAATCTTAATTTCCAGATAATTTCATATTGTACATGGAGTGAGGTAGCGGGGGCCTGCCATTTGCAGATACTTTAAAAACTGGTTTACACTGTTGAAATGTGTTTTATGTAGAAAAATCTACTATAGACTTCCTTTCCTAAATTCTAAACTATAGTAACTGGAACAGCACTAAACAAACACAGCACCACCTTTTAACCTAGAAGCCTAGATGCTCTTACGCTGGCTCACAGGCCCTGTAAAATGTCCACGTGACTCCTTTACTTTTCTGACCTCATCTCCCTTCGCTGTGCTTCATGCTGTTCTATGAACCCGCCAGGCAGGCCCTTGTGCCAGGCATTTGCTCAGGGTCCCTCTGGACCATCATCCCTACAGACGACTGCTGGAGCCTGTTCCCAGCTGACATTTCAACCTCCTGCTATGTACCCCTCCTGCTTTTTTACTCTCCCTCCAGCCCCCTTCAGCCCTGTCACTGGGGTTAAGCTCCAGGAGGGCAGGATCTTTGCTATCTTCCCCTTGCCTAGTACACAGTGGCTGCCCAGGCCCTGGTGTCTATGCTGGCTCCCTAGGTCCTCAGATTTCACTGTGGCTCTCTCGGCTTTCCTCTTCCCTCTTTCAGGGAGCTACTTAGTGCGAGGTCTATAGAATGGACATTTCCCTCAGTTTTCCTGCTCTACCCTCAGATCAGAGCAGGTGTGCAGTGCCTCTGCCTCAGACAGGGTCTCTCTCAACACGCCTGTCCTGCTCTCATCTGTCATGAGTGCTCACAGTAGGTACATGGAAAAGGGGTGTCTGTGCAAAGAGGTAGGTTCCCCTGTGTCTGACGCCCTCGAGAATTCCAAACTCTCCTGCCAGTCTACACTGTACCATTAATAATTCCATAAAGTTTCAGCTGTTTCTTCTTACCCCATCTCTAAGGGCTCCCTTCTCTTCCTGCTTCTCTGCCAAAGATGAAAGCAGGCATGGGGCCTGTCCCTCCTAAGAGGGGCTTTTCACTTTTTGTATTTAAGTTCATGATACTACTTTATGACCTCACCTCTACGGTGGTCTTAAAATACCTATGATTTGGGAGATTATCTGGCCTGTTCTCATTGTTAGGGTGGGAGTGACATTCTTGTACTTCTCTGTGCTTGGCAGCAGCAGAAGTCTTAACCTATTATTATTAGGTTTACAGGCAAGGTGAGGACAGGAGGAGGAAAGCTTAAAACAAATATAATGGGGCAAATCTAATCACAGAAACAGAATCAAAGACAGGCCAGGTAGGGAGTCAAAAGATCTTTTTTTCCATCATGACTTTGATCATGAAAATAGAAAGATGCAAAAACTATGAACTTAGAAGCAATCCAAAACTTTCCCTAAAGATATAAAAAAGCAATTATGGACCATGTCCCTCTTAGAAAGTAAAGATTCATAGGAGAATTTGAACTCAAAATATAGAGCTGCTCACAGACTTTCGATGCTGAAGTACTACAACAGAAGAATGAAAGATTTCTATCAACAGATTGGGAAAAGGTAAAAGAAATAACCACTCAAGGTCACTGAAAGAGGTATCAATTGGGTGGTGTGAAAATGCTTATATTTCTTTAAATCATGCTCTAAACTATGGATTACAGTTTATTGTATTGTATTTAGAAAATACATTATTGTTGTTTCAATAGCTTGGCAAGTTAAATTTTTATTGGAAAAAAAATAATATATTTACTTTAGAACCCATTATACCTGACAAGATGCCACCATCTTTCCTAAAAGGCAAGCAGAGTTCCTCGGAAGAGGTAGTCTCAGGAGTGCAAGTCTTGCAGAAGCAAATGCATACAATGACAGTGAAGCTCTTGAACTCCTGATGGAAAGGCAAACCTGCAGAATGCGTAGCGACAGCAACCATCTAAAGGGAAAGATACTGTGCCCTTTCGTCTAAGTCATTTAACTGGAGCAGTACACTGAACACCTGTCCTTCCAGAACTCAGTCACTGGGGTTGAGAGTAGGCCCTTCAAACTCAGCACGGTTTGAAACATATGTGGGCTGTGATGACCATTTCTCAAGGTGTTACATAATTCATCTCTGATTACCCATTCCTTAATGTGAGCTAGCTGAGGAAAAAATTAAGTAGGTGACTTAACACTCCCTTGATAGCTAGGGTGTGGTTCCTTGGGGGCTGGGGGGAAAGAATGCCTAGTCAAATGCAAGGTCCAAAAGAGACTGCAATCATCCCTCACACAGGACAGAGTTGATAAAGATGTGAACCCCATGGCAGAAATGAGCCCAGAAGAGAGAAAGGATTTTCCCTCTGGTGAACAAACCCACACTGGTTGGCTATTCTGGCAACAGGCGTGACCAATATCTCCAAGAAGAAGAGTGTTACAATTGATGGCAATTTTGTTAGGAAAGAGATTTGCTGAGAGACCTTAGCCATTGCTCCCTTCAGCTGGTTGGTATCCAAAGGACTTTTTTTCTTTCTTTTTTTTTTTTTTTGCAGTTTTTGCCAGGGGCCGGGTTTGAACCCGCCACCTCTGATATATGGGGCTGGCACCCTACTCCTTTGAGCCACAGGCGCCGCCCCTGAAGGACTTTTTATAAGATAAAGACAGTCCCTGGACTTGTGGAGGATGTAAGGTACACTTGAGCCTTACCCAGACCAGCCCAGTAGCTGCATGTGGAGATGGTGGAAGGCTGGGACATTTGGCCCGAGGACAAACTTCCACCCTGGGTTGCAAGGCTCATATCAATAGAGAGCTGTGCAGCCACCGCCGTCTAAGTCACACACTATCAAATCCCTGAAAACGTTCACTATAGATTTTGGAGGCAGGGGTTGTGTTAAGCAGGGTTTATTTTTATTCATTCGATAAAACTCATATTTGTCACACTGTGAACTAGTGTTTACAGGGAAAGAGCTCTGAGAGAACCTGTTTAGACGGTGATGGACAGAGGATAGACACTCACTGTGCTTCTCCTTGGTGGGGACACAGCACTTAGCACTTTTGTCTAGGGTAATTGACTTAGCACTGTGTTCCTGAAAGGGGGCTCAGGGCCAGGTCCTGAATGCTGCAGGCCTTGGACACACAGTGACATGTGTAATGAAGCCCTGGATGACTAGGATCAGCGTAGAACCCACAGGGGCCAAATGCTATTTGAGTGGAGATACCTTCTCACAAAAATGACTAAGAAGGCTTGATCCAGGAGTCTGTTCTAAAGTTAAATGTGTTATATCCCTGCAACTATTCACATCATAGAAACTATGGCTCTCAGCATAACTAGACCTCTTTTGAAAAGGATTTCATGTGATAAAATAAAGTCCCAACTGGAAGTAAAAATATTCTATGATAGAAATAATGATTCTGGCTCGACGCCTATAGCTCAACCGGCTAAGGCGCCAGCCACGTACACCTAAGGTGGCGGGTTCGAATCCCCAGCCCGGACCCGCCAAACAACAATGACGGCTGCAACCAAAAAATAGCCGGGCGTTGTGGCGGGCGCCTGTGGTCCCAGCTACTTGGGAGGCGGAGGCAGGAGACTCGCTTGAGCCCAGGAGCTGGAGGTTGCTGTGAGCTGTAATGCCATGGCACTCTGCCCAGGGGGACAGCTTGAGGCTCTGTCTCAAAAAAAGAAAAAAAAAAAAAAAAAAAAAAAGAAATAATGATTCTTTGTAAAAATTGCCCTTAGGCAGATTTTCACTAGAAATGGGGTACTTTAAGAACCATCTATCAA